ATGAGTTTATCGGAGTCTCTGGGAGAATAATTTAGGTGTGTGGCAGTGGCACAGGGCAGTGTAAACAGAGGGTATTATAGGCCTATCTGCTATTTGGAGAGGGTGATGCAAAGAGAAAATGGGGTGAAGATAATATGATCAGATCCAGTGGAGAGAATGGTCAGAAAAAATAAAACCAGTTAGATACCAGAAAGAAAGCCAAACAAAAATATTTTGTGAAAAGTAGGAGTTTAACAGGACTCTCAGATTTTATCAATATTTTTAGCGAAACTTTGCTACAACTTCACCTTGTAGTGCATCTTTCTTGTCTGATTTGTAATAATGATAATAAAAGAATAATATATTACATTAATCAACATTTATATTTATTCATTCTCACTAAAACTGTGTGACCTTTGAACTTATGTATCAGGTTTTCACAGGTTGAGGTCAACGTGAGCAAACACAACTGACAGAGACGGAGGCAGGATATACAAAAAAGTGATTTTATTTTACAGGTGCTGGAGAACGGGAACRGGACCTGAAACAGAGGTTTGCAGAGGTGAGTGTTTGCAGGTTGTCCAGTAATGTTTTTGCAGGTAAGTAATAGAGAGGGGTTCTTACAGGCTGGGAAGGAGACGAGACTTGGAGGAGTTGGTCCAAGGGTTGAGATCCACAGGTGAGTATTTACAGGTGCAGATATATTTACAGTGATTGTAGGAGGCAAACTGGCAGAGCATGAAAGTCCTGGTGAGTGGCTCGAGTCTTCAAGGCAACAGGCAAACGTTCTGAGGGTCGCTTTCTGGAAACAGGTAAATAACAAATACACAAAGGTAAGATTAACTCTGGGAGYAACAACAGGTAGCAGGCTGAGCTCATACCAAAATGAGGCGATGCTTCAGCGACGAGACGATCCTCAGCACAGCCTTAAGAAGCCTTGGGGTTGATGAGCCAATCTCTTGTAGGTGTGGATAATAAGCGCTGGAGCCAATCAGGGAGGCAGGGGGCGAAAACACCAAAATGCCTCATTAGGGAGGTCCAACACATTTTCACAAGAGGCCAAAATTAAAACCTGATCAAGAACAAACTATTTTTCTATAAAAAATGTCATGTTTTTCAGATTTAAAATGAACGTATTCTTGCAGAAATATGAACTTAACTTTCCCTAATATATTTTCTGTTTTGTTTCAGTCAGAACAAACAGTTTACTGGATTTTTATATTCAAACTTATTTTTTCACATCCTTTTAAATCACCATTTTTCACCGATTTCTGATAAAAACATTTTTTACCATGGGTCTTACATTTCAATTGAAATTTAAAAACATAGTCTGGACAACTTTTGAAATGTTTTCTGTTTAAGGCAGCATAGTGGTACAGTGGTTAGCACTATCGCCTCACAGCAAGAAGGTTCCAAGGTGAAAAAAATACTAAAGTATATTTTAAATA